GGTTATGAATCCAGACTCTTAAACCAGGCTCTTCAAATAATGAATGACTCTTCTGGCCCCTGGAAAAGCCATGTTCCAGCTTCTTCCCTCTGGCAGAAGATATTGTTCGCTGAAATGCAGGACATCTTGATATGCTAACAGCTTCTTTCCACAAGCAGTAATCAATTTTTAACAGAGCACTTGATCTGGCACTTGTATTGAAAGTCGATCCATTTCACAGTGAAAATTTTTTCCTGTTTTGTTTGCAATTAGTTTATTTCAAAACCTGCACAAACATTTTTTACAACGGTTCATCTTGTAAAGCACATGCATGGTTTGAAAAGGGGGTTGGCAGAAGCAGAAGCTTATTTATATCCAACCACCTCTCACACACTCTCTACAACGCAACCACAATGCAAAAACAAGAAATCACAAAAACAAAAAACAAAACAAGCAAAACAAAAAACAAATCTATATCCCCTTGGACTACCCCCACCGGTCAGGTAAAGTAGAGCATATACAATACTGTAGCGATACAACACACAACAAAACCAGACAGGACAACCAGGACAGGACAAGACAGGACAGGACAGGACAGGACAGGACAGGACAGGACAGGACAGGACAGGACAAGATAGGACAAGACAGGACAAGACAGGACAGAACAGGACAAGACTCACTCGCTCAGACACTGGCCCCGGACGTTCTCCGACCACACACCACTCGCTCAATGCTCAGCTACTGCTCAGGGAATCATGCTCCCTCTTCTGCGTATTTCTGCAGTAATTCTTTTTTAAAGTATTTTTTAAACTTGGTCATGTTGGAGCATGATTTTAATGCTTCCGTTAATTCTTTCCAGATCTTCACTCCTCTGACTGAGACACACATTGATTTCAATGTTGTTCTCACTTTAGGGACATAAAATTGTTTGTTTCCTCTAAGCCTGTATCTATGATGGGCGTCTCTATCATGAAAAAGGTTTTGTATGTTTGCTGGCAGAGAGCTTTCAGATGCCCTGAACATTATCTGAGCAGTTCTTAGGCTAACCAAGTCATGTAGTTTAAGTTGATTCGTTTTGATGAACAAGGGATTAGAAGGATGTCTGTAGTGAACATTAGACACAATCCTTATGGCCTTTTTTTGTAAAATGAATAAGGGCTGCAAATGAGACTTATAGCAGTTTCCCCACACTTCAACACAATAATTCAGATATGACATTATGAAAGAATGGTATAATAACATAAGCGCATTGGTATTAATTAAATGACAGGATCTCTTCATCATTCCCACACATTTTGCAACTTTTGTCCGCAGGTAACTTATGTGAGGTTTCCATGTAATTTTGTCGTCTATAATAACTCCCAAAAATACATTTTGTTTGACATTCTCAATAGGTGTATCATCAAGTACTATTCTGACTGGTATTTTACTTTTACGATTACTGAAAAGCATAATTTTAGTCTTTTTTAAGTTGAGTGACAATTTGTTATTATTAAACCACCTCATTAATCTGGTCATCTCCACTGTTACGAGGGACAAGAGTTGCTCCAAGTTATTTCCTGAGCATGTAATTGTGGTGTCATCCGCAAAAAGTATAAATTTCATTAATGTTGATACTTTACATACATCATTGATATACATGAGAAACAGTGTGGGTCCCAGAATTGACCCTTGGGGAACACCACAGGTGATGTCTCTGAAACCAGACCTCTGTTGTTCAAACTGTACAAGTTGCTTCCTACCATTCAAATAGCTCACCAACCAGTTTAGGGCCGGCCCCCTTATGCCATAAGCCTCCATGTTGTTTATTAAAATATGATGATCGATCGTATCAAAAGCTTTTTGGAGGTCAATGAATATTCCTAGCACAAAATATTTTTTTTCTATACCGTTTGTAATGTCCTCCATCAGGTCTATCAGAGCTAGAGATGTTGATAGTTGTTTTCTGAATCCATATTGAGCGACAGACAGTAAATTGCACTTGTGAATGAAATCACGTAATCTAGTGTCAAACAATTTTTCCAGTATTTTGGAGAACTGTGGCAGAAGGGAGATAGGCCGATAGTTATTGAAGCTGTTTTTATTTCCTGATTTGAATATTGGGATGACTTTTGCCCTCTTCATTTGGGAGGGGAAGTCGCCAAGTTGAAATGACAAATTGCAGATGTATGTGAATGGTTTAATAATCTCTGTTGCTATCTTACGTACGGTTCTCATATCAATGTCGTCGATATCTCTAGATGTTTTGTTCTTAAATGTCCTTATAATGCTATGGACTTCCTCCTCATATGTGGGAGTGAGAAACATTGATCTGTGATTTTTTTCAATCAATCCTTTCCCAGGGTCACTTTCCGATGGGAAAGTGGTTTGTTTTATTTCTGCACTTTTAACCTTGTTTTATTCATGTACTTGTCTTGTGCAAACTGGGGACTTTTGCAAATGTATTCCAATGTCGTTTCACTGCAAATGGCAAATAATTCAATCTGAATCTCTTCAACTCAATGGGCCAAGTTCAACCTCCATAGGTATTAGAAGCTCCATTCATTTTAACATGCCATTCTCTGTTAATAATGCTCTGTGGGTCGACCGGTTCCTGCAGTAATAATGGAGTGGCCCCTTGTTGCATACTGGTGACCGGAACAATTCCCTGTCCACATGGTCCACAGCCACAGCAGGACCATCAATGGATCCCAGTGTGCTCCATCAATAATGGTCACCAACAGTTGCCAATGGCACACTGATAAAAAATCTACTATTAAAAGTTTCAACCTCTGTACGTATAAATGTTGACCTTCCTCTTTAACCACCCAAAATTGTGTTCAGAGTTTGAGGCCATTATTTCTCCATGAATTAAAAATAAAAATACTACAGTAACAAACACCTACTGTCTCTAACCTGTGTGCTGCTGATTTCAGAGAATCAAAGTTCATGCCGGGGCTAAACTTTAACACTAGGACTCACACAATTATGAAACTATTAGAACTCCCAGAGCTGTCATTTTCTAGCCTGGCTCCAGCCGACCTTTAGCCCCGCCTCCATGGAGTTTCTGCGGGCAGGTCGGTCTGGCATTCCTCAATGGAAAAAGTATTATGGGGGGCGTGTTCGAACTGAAACAGGAAACACAATCCCCCTTCGTACTATTGGATAGTCCAACAACCAATGAGAGCGAGGTGTGACGTATTTATGCGACGTTATTATTGTTTACCTTCTCGCATGCTGCCTGTAAAATGAGTGCAAACGACTTGTGCCGGTGTTGCAAAAAGAACTTGAAGATACGCGGAGTATTTAGCAACACGTTACTAATTTTTGAGAGAAATAAAAAAGGTAAATCCATATACGAACAAGTCCTCCATTTAGGATTACAACTTCACAAGACATCAGAGAAATCTACGCGCATTTGTCGGTCCTGTCACAACCTGATTACAAGACTGGAACGCGACATTCCCGTGTTCAAATCATGGACAAACGAAGAAGGAGAACCGGCTGAAGAAGCATGCTCATCAGAGTCACCATCAGAGAAGAGAGACCGGGAGCTGAGCCCTTCTAAGTCGCCCAGAGCCCTGAAGAAGTTCTGTTCCAATCATTTAACTGCAGCCGGTGCAGAACCGTGAAGAAGCATCACAAAGGTAAGCGCATGTTAAAGAAAAAATTCTACCTATTATTTTATACCCACAATCTCGATTGCCAAGTGTTTCATATATGAAGTCGTGTTTATTTACAATGTGATTAACACATAACCAATTTCAATGCAATACATCAATGATTAAACCATCTGAGGCATATTAGCTGGGCCAAATCCGAGTCAGGTCAGGCAGTGTTCCCCTGAGCTGCTCTACAATTGCCTCTGGGCTCACCATAATAAACATGGTTTATTCAATGCATTGTCAATGCATTGTCAATGCATTGTCAAAGCTTATGCTGCAGTTATTCTCACTGTCACTTTGTCCTATATTGTAGGTTGTCACCCATTACCCATCACAGACCATTGCTAAGGCATGTGATTCAGAAGATGCCTCAATAGTCAACAACATAAACCAAAAGAAGTGAACTACAGCTGCAAAGTCCATTTTAAAGCATACATACCTGGTTGACAAAATAAAGCAGCACATTGTGGACCTAATAGAGCATGAATGTAAACATTTATGTAATCCAAACAACGGGTGTATCCTGTGGAAGTCATCACCGGATGACCTGAAGGCCTTTTCATTCACCAGGTTAGAAGAAGACTTAAGAAGTTTTTCACCATTCCTGTTTTCAATTTTGATGACTATCACCAAAGACTCGCAAACTGCAACTTGTGCGGCAGCTTCTATTGCTTTGAGAGGAAGAGAACCACGAATGTCTGCATTTGCATACTACTTATGTAGTATTCTTCATTATGGTGGAGCAAAAAAAGCTGTGTTTGAAAGGCTGAACAAAATGGCCATAACAACAACCCACCAAAATTCCATAGATAAGCAGAAGGAGTTGGCCTTCCTCTGTGGGGCTGCTCTACAAATGTTAAAGGTCCAGAATGAAGCTTTCCTCAACTCTGAAGCAGAAGGGAATATGTCTGGTGAGATGACAAATAGCTAATATGTAGAAACGCAACACATTGAAATGCTATGTCTTTTTAAATGTTTTGTGTCTAATCCTGTGATTAGTAATGAGTTATCCCTTATTCTTTTCCAGAAAATGAAAAGGCTGAAAGCGACGGCATACATGCCTCTGCAATGGCTATGCTGCCTTTTAACAGTTTAAGTGCCTTTGAAGCAGCAGAGCCGGGCCTGAGCTCTTCTGCCTCTCCGGTCATTCAACTCACTCCTCCACCAACATATTCCATTATAATTGACAATTTGGACTTTTTCATGCGTGCTCATCATCAGTCTTCCCTCCATAATAACAAATCCATACACTGGATCCATCATATTGCAGTCCAGGATCGCATCTCAATAAATCACCTTGGCAATGAGAAGCCGGACTATGACATGTTACAATATGATCTTTGCAACTCTCTCCCCGGAGTAGAAATCCAGGACAATATGCAACGGGAGTTTATTGTTCTTGGGACCCGCATCCTGACCCAGCACCTGTCTGTGTTTAAGCCCTTCAAACATGTTGTCGTTCACCACATGCCACATCAATATTCTGAAGACATGTCTAAGTGCTCCACAGATGTAAGTAGTGAGTTAGATATGAAACAAAAGTACAGTCAAACACGACTGCAATTTCATTGTTTTCAATTTTTTCCTCTAGTATCCTCTTGGACTGCTGTTCAAAGATGAGAACAAAACGTCAGATTTGGTGGACACACTTCGCCACATCCAGAAAGAGTAAGAATATAATTATGCTCCAGTAACACACCCATTGGCAGAAGGGCTTTGTTGAAATTTATGATTTAAATGTTTGCATATAATCCATTTAGGTATGTGCCAAAAGGACCCAATGGTGTGTCAAATGTATTGGTAGGAGGTGACCGGCTGACTGAGGGGAACTGCAGAAACTTGCAGTGGGCCTTCTCAGATGGTGCTACAAAAGAAGACAGACTGGAAGGTCTCGTCTAAGTTTGAGGACTGGCATGCCATCAGAAACCTCTTTGAAGTGAGTAGTATTAGACACTGGTGTGACTGTTTCATAACAAAACTGAACTGTCAGACCACTACTTTTAGATGTACTTTTGTGTGCCAAGCTGTGTTCATTCCTGTTTTATAAGCCTCCAATGTTTACATAGATCTATCATCGGATATTCTATGACTGCACATCCTCAAAAGATCATGGAACACTTCATTCCAACATGACAAAATTGAGGTACAGTGCCTGCTTTCCGAAATGCCGTGAATACACACTTAACACTTTTATTTCAACTTGACCCTAACCTTTGTGTTGTGTTCATGCCAGACAATGGTGTGTTCTATGCCCTTAGTAATGTACCTTGTTAAATGATTACCTAATAAATGTTTGGGTGACAGCCTCTGCTAAAATAATGTAAATGTCTGTGATGGACAATGACAAAGACTATCTGCCATTTGCTAAACTACACATTTGTTTCATAGGTGCAGTAATGCCAAACAAGGTCCCCATGCCGCTTACAATGCCTATAAGGAATTTGTGCGGAAGGACACGGCTGCACTCTTCCTGGCAGCTGCAATGGAGCACTGGGGGCTGGAGGATGTAACAGGTAAGTTATAGCACTTGACATCCCATTCAAAGTTGATCTTAGATACAAGTACTCATGTAATGAATACATGTCACTTTGAGAGTTGATAATTAAAATGCATTTTGAGTAGTTATGACATATTATATCTCTTAAATGTTATCCTGTGTACTCCTGGTGGTGAGACGTTAAAACATTCTTTTCTGTGTGCTAACAGACATTCCAGATAGCTTTGTGCCAGTGGATGTTGCCTATGGATCGCCACAACTGAAGAGGAATTGGCTGCATGAGAAGGTTGGAGAGGTTGTGGACACTTTTGTCATGATGACAAACGTCACAGAAGCAGCAAGTCAAAGGCCAGCCTCACAACAGCAAAGACCGAAGCTTCCGTGCCGTGCGGACGGGTGTGGCCATGTGTATATATATACACCAAAGCGAGGGAAAATCATGAAAAAAAGATGCACAATCTTGTGGCTACATCAGCCTCTTCTGCAGAAGACACCAGACCAGAAAACCAAGATCATCAGAAACAACACTCAGAAGCTAGACTTGGCTTTGGCTTCTTCCTGTTAAACATGCAGGATGCAGTAAGAGAAGGGGATGGTGAGAGGCTGATGAGACTGTACAAAGTTGCCCTGCTTTTCTATAAGGCATATGGACACAGCCAGTATGCCTACAGCACGTTCCTACTAACATTACAAGTCAATCTCACTCTGTCCCCACGCATGGCACACAGTGTTGTATGGAACCGGTTTTGGAATGGTAGAGGGGGAAAGGGGAAAAATATTCCCCTTGACCTCCATCTGGAACATCTGAATAATTTTCTGAAATCTTTTATGACAGGCTTGGGACCAAACCTGTCTGAAACATCAGCAGCCAGGATCAGTAAGTCCATTGGCATCCTCAAGGAGCTGTTGGAAAACACAGACACAGAGCTGGAGGTGACAAGGCCAACCGGCATTCACCATGTAACCAATGAGCAGGACGACATTCTTGCCTTGGTCAACATTTTCAGGGAGACTCAGATTTTCAAATGTCAACCAGGAAGACAATTTCACGCATTCCCTCATTTCAAGAGAAACTTGTTGGGAAAACTAAATTACCGTGAGTTATGGCAATGGATGAAGTCAAAAGTAATGGACTGGAGAAATGTCCCTATTTAGTTAAGTAAAACTTGTAAAATTTGTAAATACTGAAAGTGAAACTGTACATCATTTTGTTATTAAATCTTTATGAAGTTGAAGAGATCCTTAATTTGTTCCAGTGTGGGGAAATTTCAATGTGTCATCACCAGTTACAGAACAGGAGTGAGGAGCGCACACAGCGAAAGATAAAGGACCAGTGTCTTTTAGTTTCTACATTCTTAACCATGTTTCCTTATGTTCAAATATTGCCTCTGGAGATATGCCACATCTCGATACTGCTGTCAATCAGTTGACGACCTGCACTACAACAGCAAACTTGCACATAGTCAATTTCCTATTGTATCAAATACTTTTATTGCACACAACATACTATTTTCACCTTCATGACAATGGCTGTCTTTTACATGTAGTATTCATGCCAACTAACATGTACATTTCTCTAGTGCAATCTGAAATAAACGTTTTTGCATTAGAAAACAAACAGCAGTCAGAATATAAACATAGTAACTAAAGCATAAATATAATCAACACATAAAGCTACAAAATGAAGGCAGAATTTAAAGCTAGTCTGAGATCCTCAACATTGAAAAGCCTGATTCCATGCTACTAAGTGATTGCATGTCATCCTCTTCCTCATCAAAGTAACCAGTGTAGTGCATGTCAACCTGAGCACAGTCTTTTGTAACACTGTCATCTAGCAAATCAAATTGACTCTGTTCAAGGTCATAAAATACCTCATGCATAATTCTCAGTATCTCTTTAGCATGCTCCAGTTTGAATACAGGGAGGTTGTTGATAATGAAGTCCAGATCGAATATATGTGTACACTGTTCTATAATTGCATTATGAGTTCATCTCCAAAACCAGTGCAGGCTGTGTCAACGGTGTAAAGTGGGACGTTATGGTCCTGAAGTAAACTGCTCCTGTAAGTCTGCAACAGGTCCCTGATCAACAGCTTGTCATCAAGAGTGACTATTCTGTGTTTATAAAGTGATGCAGACTGGCTTTGAATTTGTTCATACTTAGGGATGGGTTCCCCACAACCCTCAGGCTCACAACAACAAACAGAATGGCAGTGGGTGCAACAAAGATGTCCAGGATCAACAGATGTGGTGATTTCTTCAAAATGGCAGTACAACGCTTTACGCAGACAACCAGTGGCTCCAGCCTCAAGTACGGTCTTAATGACTGGATCCAGCTTTGCATGCTGTTTGACAGCATAAACAATTGCATGTGCCTGCAACCCATCTCTGCCTGCCCTCCCAACCTCCTGAACCATGGCTTCCACATCATCAGGGAACCCATACATCACAATATGTGATATCTTGGGGAAGTTTAAGGCTATATCCACACGAAGACAAAACGCTTATAATTTCAGAAACTTTTTCTGTAAACACGGAGTTAGCTCAGTAAATGTGTGCGTCCATATGAATGTAGTCAATACGCCTGAAAACGCTGTGAAACTATGCCAGACCTGTTGGTGGCGCTGTGACGCAATGACGGGATCAAGCCCAAACTTCCGTGGGCATGCGCGGAATTTTGTAAACAGACAACATGGCGAGTGGGCGAGCTGGTACTACATTAGTATGGACGGACGATGAGGTTGAACTGTTGCTTCGGGTGACACTGGATTACAAAACCAACAAGCTACATTGTTGTTGTCATTATTTTCTGAGTGCGGCGCATGCGTGCTTTAACAAGAGGCGGGGCGATGACGCAAGCGTCTCAGATACATTGCGGAGAGGCAGTAACCACGGAGCGGCATATACAGAGTTTTGAAATCTTTCCACTCTGGGACCTGGTTTCAAAAATGTTCGTTTACACCCCCCCAAAACGCCGGCCTCGTATGGACGATACACTGGATTGATAAAGTATTTTTGCGTTTAGGCCTGAGCTTGACTTCGTGTGGACAGGGCCTAAGCCCATCCCAAGAGCTGTTGTTGCCACAACAACTCTGCAGCTGCCCTGTCCACTCAGAGATGACAGCACTCTGTTCTTATTCTGAGGCAGTGTCTGGCTGTGAAACATGCCCACCAGCAGGTTGTCGGGATTTTCATCAGGGTCTCTGTTGACCCAGGAATCTTTACCAAGTGCCCCCTTCAAATGGCAGAATACTCTGCCAACTGTCTTCAGGGTTCTGCAGTAGATAATGACTGGTGACATGGAGATGCCTTTTTCTTTTACATCACTGACAATCCAGTCTAGGCAGTCCAGTGTATGGAAAGGCACTTTAATCAGACCCAGTCTGATATTTGTTCTGTTTGGGCTCAGAGCCAAAATGGTTGGATTGTCCATCTGAAGTTGTGTCATGACTCTGGCTCTAGACTCCCGATCAGCAGACGCAGTCATTGCCAGCACAGGTGTTCCTGGAATATACAACAGTACAATAATCAACCATACAGTCAAATGTGACAGTTATATTTTGTGGGAACAACAAATACCTAGTAGTAATGAAAACTATTGATACATACAATGATGAAATGTGTGTCATAGTATTATAATGTATTTTGATAATTATGTAGAAATGTATGGGTGTATGTTGGTAGTTGTGTTTGTATGTATATGTTTACATGTATGGAAGATATGTGTGTGAATATATGTATTCCCCAGAAAGTGCAAGTCTGAATGCAAATAGCAAAATGGTTTTGGGTTAGAGTGGTTGGTAAAAGTCTTCAGAAATGGACTGTTCTTACATTCCTGTGGCTAGTGGTGATTTACAGTGTAGTTTGTACTCACCAGCTTTAACTAGGGATCTGAGTTCTCCCAACTTGGCGAAGCTCTGGCGAAATGGCGTTTGTCCTTGTGCAGCCTGACCCCTGATACAAATAAAAGAGTACATTAGAACAAGAGTTGTTGAACTACAATGAGACCAAAGATGAGCTTTTATGAGTTCATAAGTGAGGGAATTCCAATGTCATAGTTGCACATTGTGGCTGAATAAAAGGAGAAATAAGAACACTCAGACTATACACACATCAAACAGGGTCTATTATCAGCCTCATGACGTATTCACCGATGTTTTAGCAGCAGAGCCCAAACAACCAGAATAAACAATAACAATAATAGCCGCGGGTAAAGCTAGTGAATGATCAGAATTATCAGGTACATTGCATATGTAATAATATAGCAGCCAAGGTGACTATGTGTATAGGGGGTTACTCAGACTATCTCTTACCATTTGTATGTTAGATGCACTTCATCTACGACAATGCCCATCACGTTGGCTTGTAAAATGTCCGAGCCGAGCATGTTCCTCCACCTCTGGTTGAGCAGCCAGGATTCCGGGCTGCCGAAAATGAGCTGGCAACGACCGCTGGTGATGTCCAACTCCTCGTGGACGCCGAGTTGCATTGCCGTGATGCCCATCGCACTCGCCTCCTTCACCTGGTCCTCCATAAGCGCGACCAATGGTGAAACCACAATGACTATTGGGTTTTCCCGGTGTCCCAACTTCTTCGCGACCATCGGGGCCAGTTGATAAATTAAACTTTTACCAAATCCCGTCGGGAGCACGGCTAGGACATCTTTTCCACTCACAAATGCCTTGATAGCGTTTCTCTGTTCATATTTCAAGATGAATTCTCTGTTCATGTCTTGTAAAACAGAATCAATAGCAGAATCCACACATCTCACCTCCCTAGCGCAATGCATGTTTGTTTTGAACTTATTCTGCCCTGGCGCTCTTTGATGACGTAGATGCTGACGTTACTGTTGCTCACCTGTCAACCATCACATGAAGCCCGCCCTGTCACTCTGACTGGCCCGGTATGTATCGTACCGGGCATAATACTTTTTCCATTGAGGAATGCCAGACCGACCTGCCCGCAGAAACTCCATGGAGGCGGGGCTAAAGGTCGGCTGGAGCCAGGCTAGTCATTTTCACTGCTCTCATTCAAACCAATGGAATTCTTAGAAATTGCGAACAGCAAAAAGCAGTTTGTTGAGAGGCTACCCAAATGCTCTTAGCAAGTAAACATTATGTTGCTATGGTAACTATTACTGGCTCTACCTTGGGAGGTAAAGATGGAACTACTCTTGTATCAAAAATTAAAGATATCTTAATAAACATAATGAGATACTATGTCCCCCCAGTGCTTTTTGTTTTGGAAACTACATTTTTGGTCTTCATAACGTTTTTGAAATTATCTTTTTTATATGAGAAGTTCTGCTCTAACTCCCAGACTTCCCTCGTTTAGTTACCATAGCAACACACTGTTTACTTGCTACCATTTAGCATTTTATAGCCATGCATTTCACATTTTTAGTAGTTAAGTTATACACTTACCTGCGTAGGTTTCCTCCGGGTACTCCGGTTTCCCCTACCACTAAAAATATGTACAATAGTTCTGGCATGCGCCTCCTGTTCGGCGACCCCGCTCCCATCTCTGTGTGGAGTGAGAGGACAAGTGCCCAAAAAATAACAATTGTAAACCGCTTTGTGACTCTGGTCTGTGAAAGGCGGTATATAAATAAAGCTTACTTACTTACTTACTTACTTTATTAATTACTTAAATTGATGAAAACCTCACTTTTTGGGCGAATATTCAGAATTCAATTAGTCCTAGTGCTAAGTAATTATTCCAAAACTAAAGGCCGTCAAATTGACTGCTCTGGGGGTTCTCGTGTTAAAGAATCCCAGCTGGGACAGGTTTGGGGGCGAGGGGGTGTCGGCCACTGCACACACTCAGCACGTCTGCACCCGGCCCACCCAACGCCGTCTTTGAACTCAGGTTTGGATTGGTTTTAGATGTGGCGGGGGTCGTGGAGCATGCCGAAAAAAAAGATAAAAAAAAGTGAAAGTGTGGAGGATTTAAAGGTGACAGGGAAAGAAGGGCACGGAGCGTCTTTAATTCCCTAATCCTTCATCCTTTTTGGGGACGGATACTTGATGAAATGCCCGGACAATGGCGCAGTGGAAGAAGTCACCCTTAAGTCTCCTTTTGATCAGGCCGCAGGCTTTGTGTCCCGTGGCTCTCAACACATTCTTGGTTCTTTTTGGGGCCGATGGGTTGGGAATGATGGCTGTGGATAAAACTGCTTATTTCATCGGTCTCCTTTCGGGGCCTCACCGCAAAGACCACTGCGCTCGGAGGGGGCTCTCCCCATATTCATCATCGAGGCTTACGCTTACATCTACTGGAATGGAATGAAAACAACTTGAAAATAATGATTAATTTTGACTCTACAGTAGAAGATATCGCTTTGTTTGCCTTTAATTTCTTGCTGGCCTGTGTTGTATTTATATTTCTGGAAAGACACAAGACAAAGATTGCATTAGAATTGTATTTATCGTTCTGATTGCATGAAAAGACAAATAAACCCAGCAGACGCATAATTGGCTACTAAATTATGCGTTGTATTTGAACATGGACTGCTTTTTTTTTATCTCATGGCAATTAAACCCTGGAGGACGTCTGCAGGAGGGAGTTTGACAGAAATTATGAGCTTGCGACCCCCTGCGGCCTAGACCCTGGTGGGGAAGGAAGCTGAGCCGAAGACGACGCTCTCCTGAAGAAGCGGTGATGGGGAGGAGGTGGGTTGCTGCTCGAACACCAGCTTGAAAGTGCAGAGAACTGACAGGCTCTGTTTAAATGCAGCAGAGATGATGAGCACAGGTGTGAAAGGGCAAGAACTCAATATGGTACGAGGTCTCTACTGGTCTTCCATCACTGCCCATTGGAAACGTGTGGCACCAGAGCCTCAGAATGGACTGGTTTTTCACACCTGCATCGACGCGCACAAGTTGTGTCTGTCTTAAATCTAATTAAATTGGAGTAAGTGAAGAATTCGGCTGAGTGCTTTGTAAACAAACTCATTGAGAACTGCACACAAAGATCTGAAGTGAGCCAGCGGTTTCCAGTTTCACTCAAACAGTACAAGACTCCTCCCTCTACATCCAGGTCTCAGCAGGACCATACTCGTTAAATAAAAGGCCTATTACTACGATTACTATTTCATTTTGAATCAAGGCCTGTTTCTGGTTTGATCTGATCCTAGTTCAGAAATGAATTGGGTAAAAAGTTCTGAATTTGCCTCTCATTTATATAGCAGAAGCTGAAAGTCATTCATCTTGCATTGTCTGAGGCTGGCGCAAAAACAATGGAACGAATTGAGCCAAAATCTGCTGTTGATGGGACATGAGGGTGGGAGACGTCAAAGTTTTTTTATTTTTATATTTTTGAATATTGTAATGAACGATCATCGCCCACCAAAAAATCTGGCTCCCGAAAAAATATGTGGTGTACAGGTGATGAGCAGATTACTGTCTAGCGTATTTCACAGACCAAGGTCATACAACCACAAAAGATGTTGGAGTTGTTTTCTGTTCCATTCTCTCCCCAAATGTGATGAGAGAAGTGAGAGGCTGGACACATATCAAAGCCCCCTACAATACATTCATTCCTATTGTATCTGATTTTTTAGTGGTAGGGGGAAACCGGGGCACCAGGAGGAAACCTAAGCACTCTCTCTCACACTCTTCCAGCTCTGCAGCAGTTCACAGTCCTCTGGCTCTGCCTCAGACTCACACACAGCAAACAGGGGAAACCCACATGTTGTGCCTGGAGGCCTTCCGTCCTGGGACTTATCTCCATCTGTGTGATGTGGGACCGTCTCACAGATCACATCATTCATTTGTTCACTGGAAAATATACTCACAGACGGCGGTGGTGGGAACGTAGCAATTAGAGAACAAACAAGGGGAAAGTCACAATACCAGCTGTGAAGGCAAAATAATGAAATGAATTTTTTGTAATTTCTAGTCCTTACATTTGAAAAAAATCACAACATGCAATCAGGTCTGCAGTGGTTCAAAACAATTTGTGAATTTAATTTGTTTAAGTTAGCAGCGCTTCAAAGGTTTGTAGCACTTCAAAGTTCAGAACTTTCTGCTTAAAGGAGCTATACCCGTTTCTGCAAGGTTTGATGTTTAGCACCGCCCCCAAGTCGCTCAGAGGCTTCTCATTTCCTCTACGCTCTCATTCCATGGAGCCATCGAGTTTTATTTGCGATTCGATACGTATGCTAACATTAGCGCAACATACGCTGTACAACATTCACTGATGAAATGGTACAAAAGCAACGCACTGTTTAACAAAATATATAACTGAAAGATTACCACTAGTTCCGTGTCCGAATGTGGTCCAAGCATAGATAGTCCGAGGCGGTTCCACAGGTCTCTCCCATAGACAAGTCTCTCCAGAGGATACGACCCGGGCTTGGTTTCTGTCGTTTGGGCTGTTTTGCTGTGTCTGCAGTTACAGCCAGAGGAGTTATAGCCAATTCTGCTAACATGCTACTGTGTTTAGCAGCGCTGTAGAGGCTAGAGGACACAGCCTCGTTCTGTGATTGGAGGAGAGCGGGCGTCACGCTAAGTTTCTACTCAGCACTTTTTACGGCCTGAATTCATACACAAGCTAAATCAATGAGCTCAAGTTTTCAATTCAAATACAGATTATAATACAAGTTGTATGTAGTAATTAGCATTTTTATGAACTCAATAGAAAATAAATCGGGTATAGAATCTTTAAGCTCTATATTTTTGGTTTATTGTATAAACAAACACAATCCCCGCCTGTTCTGTCCATGTTTACTCTTTTCAAACTCCTCAGACTGACGTCATGAACAGAGCAGTTTCTTCTAGATTAGCTTTGGTATAATTCCACAACAAATATGGACATTTTTAATTGATGGACATTGGTCATCTGTCCTTTATGGACCAATGGCTCTATTTATTATTATTATGTTTTATCATTGCATTCCCTGTGTCTGAACTGTTAGATTCTGTGTTGCCAAATCAACAGCTTTGTAAAGTCCTCCGAGATAACTACTGTTGTGATTGAGGGCTGGACACATTTTTTTTTTTACTGAAATCTAATTGAATCCATAATGTGTTCGCTGCTGGTAACCTGTGATAACACACAGTTTGAGGGATACCCGGTGCTCTTGCATAAGGCGCAGAGAAAGTGGCTGGGACGGTGCGTGCCAGAGCCTGCCCGGGCCTGCACATGTCTCCCGGCTCTGCTCCAAAATGGCACCTAGACACCCCTGCGCTGCGAGTGATGGAAATAATCCTTTCCCTTAATTAAAGGATGAACAACATCAAAGCGGAGGTGTTGCAGTCAAGCGCGTATCCAGGATGTCACCATGTTTCTGTGCAGAGTTTAGGAGTTAGAGATAATAGTTTGGAGTTGAGCTGCTGTCAGACGGATCATATCTAGTGACACAAATGATTAACAGTGTGTGGATGGGCAGAGCTGTTGCACACTGGGCGGCCCGCCAGCAAACATGCAAACTCCACTTGTGTGTGTTTTATATCGCCCTCCAACACCTCCAAACACATAGACACGGGTAAACATGACTGTGAAATGAAAACATGGTTTGTTAATGGCCAGCTCCACTCTACAGAGCAGACTGTGGACTGAACTGTAACGTAGCCTTTTAATGTGAGAGTAAAGAAGCTTAAGCGTAAATTCAGACTGGAAGACATGCTGCCACACTGACTCCTCCCCCTCTGCACTCCTGTGTTCATCATTCAAACAGAGCCTCTCCGTAGCTTCAAGCTGAGGTTTGAGCAGCAACCCACCTCCTCCCCATTACTGTCACTTCAGTGGAGTGTCATGTCATATCTTCGGCTCAGCTTTCTCCACGCCGAGGTCTAGGCCCCAGGTGTTCGCAAGCTCATAATTTCTTAAACTCCCTCCTGCACCTTGTGCAGTATTCCTCCTGAGGTCTAATCGCCAAGCTTATCACAAACATTAGTACCCGGTCAGTGCGTCTGCCAGGGGTTTAATTGTCTATTCATGCAATCTTGACAATAAACATTCTAATGCAATCTTTGTCTTGAGTCTTTCCAGATTTAAATGCAACAGTACGTATTGTATGTCGGGGACCATCAATCGGTTCTGAGTGGAGGACCTCAGGCTCCTGTTGGAGACATAAGGATACTGGATCAGGTCCTTGATGTATTCAGGCGCTTGACCATGAAGAGCCTTGAATGTGAGAAAATCAGTCACCAACCTGTCGTTCTTAACCCTCAAACCGATGATGTTTATGTCGGGAGCAGGATTCACCGACCGTCGGCTCAAAGAACACACTACCAACTGTACAGGAGCTAGGATAGAACACGCACTATACTTCAATGTGGGCCTCTCTGAAGTTTCTCACTTTTCCCACTGGGTTTAGAGTTGTTCGTTGCCGATGCAGGAGGGTCTGTTATATTAGTTTTGTGAGGGTCTAACGAAAAGGACAGAAGTGATGATTCATTACACTCAACATTCAGCAACATTTATCAACATATATGCGGACATTGGTCATCAGCCCCTTATGGGCCAATACCAATGTGTTTTCTGTTTTACTTCTTGTGTTTGAACTGTTTGATTCTCTGATCCATGTTGGCAAATTCAACGGTTGTGAATTGCACATAGGTCTTCAAACATCGGGCTCCCTTAAGACTATTAAAACGCTATACTTGATCCAAACCACCGCTGAAAGTGCCTTGTTGGTCTACTGGGTCATAAACATTTCTCGTCTACAGCACGAGAGACCCATCCCTACTGAGCACTGCTGCAGCTGGGAGGCTGGGTGGGACGTGCTCTTCCGGAATGTTGTATTATTTCCACATCAGAAGTTTTCTTTTGACCCAAACCAAACTGCGCTTTCATGAAGAGCTGCCTGCAGGCTCTCCTACCTCCGCAGCGGGGCCTTTGTGAGCCCGCTGTCCCCTGACCCCTTTATAGTCTCGCAATATTGGTTTAGGAACAAAAGCTACTGGTTAATTCAATGGACTAGAGCACCTTTCACAATATAGTATCCGCTGGAGCGCTCTCGCCGTGTGTGTGGACCTGGTTTTTTGTTGTTGAACCAGAGGAATACCCAGAAATATGAAACTTCTAAAAGTAAGTAAGTAAGTAAGTAATGTTTATTTATATAGCGCATTTAACAGACCAAGGTCACCCAAAGCACTATACAATGTACAAAAAATCACCCAGAAATTATACGGTTTCTTTAATACATGCTAAAACTGGTTAGTATAGCTTGTTGAAAGGATTCCATAAGCCCACTGCTGCGGGTAAATATAGCGAGGGTGTTGCTATGGTAACTAGTAAGTCTTCTCAAGTTCAGCTCAGAACCAGCACCAGTCCTGTCCATTTCGACAATAAAAGATATTATCATAAACATGATGACAGAAATAAACTACATTTAGAGACAGAAAAAGTCACAAAGTTATGCAGACTAAACAATAATATGAGCTGAGTAATGATGCTTCCAAATCGAAAAGCCGTCAAATGGTTGGAACCATCCTCTCTGGTTTGGTCTGGATCAGTGTAAAACCATGAACACTGTACTGCTAGAAAAAAGCAAGACTAATAATTATTTTAAAACACAAAACTTACTACTACTACTTAGAAACAAGTGAGAGGGACCATCAACAGCCAATCATTAGTTGAAGCCAGAATAGAAGGCCCCTGATTGGTCAGTTGTTAGTGCTCATACATGGATTTAAAAATGCATTTTCCAAACAAACACGCAGGATCTTAACCCAAAGATTTTTAAGTTGAAAATAATACAATTTTTAAGTATGACAAAAAACTGTTACCGAAAGGAAGCATTGACTTTTAACTGAAGGGAGCCGATGTGATTAGGATCCAAACTTCACCATGAGCACTTCCCTATGAGGTTGCAGGTTCTCCTCAGAACCTGTTGATGGTCTCTCTCACTTGTTTTAAAAAACCAGAGGAAACAGGCCATTTAAACCTGGTAGCTCCTTGCCTTTGGAATGAACCAGTCCCTGCACATGTTGGATTCTTTGGATAATCTCAAATATCAACTTAAGACACATTTGCTTAAGCAGTCTTTATCCTTTTCTCCTTATTTAGGCCTACTGCATGTCGTTATGTCCTTGAGCAAGACAATTAAGCCCACTTTGCCTGAAGCCCTCGCGGAAAAATCAAGGTTGTGTCATTGGAGCAGCAGCCATCTCCCTCTGGACTCACCACCTGCCGGAGGACCAGCAAGGTACTGTTGCTATGAGCATTATGTGGCAGCTCTGATTGTCCCAGCCAGTGGGGGCGGGTCCCGGCTCCAAAAGGTCCATGAACATGTGCGCTGACATGCAGCAATCTCACTCCGGGCCGGTGGTAGTGTACCCAGAAAGAGAATTAACCAATGCTTTTGTATTGCGTCTTCTCTCCTCTCCAAAACAGCTTTACAGGAAGGTCCAAAAATCAGCTCTTAGCCCAATGCAAGTCGAGTAACGCATGCACAAATGTGTTTTTTCACATTTTCCTGCCCCGCGGCCATTTTTTAAAAAAGCCCACAGAAGGCAAAAGCAGTGGCATATTAATTTGAACGGCGCAGATAGATGTGTTAATATTTACAGTATACTGTATGCTGTCACCCCACCGACCCAGAAATTGTAGAATAAAAGGAAGATAATGAATGAATGAAAGTATAAAATCTCTAACTTGAGAATAATAGAGACGCAAGAATAAATTACTGTATATTCTAGTGCAAGGAATATGTAGTTAGTATATTGTAGCCAATAAAATACATTGACCGTGCATTTCAGCTGCAGATTATACGATTGTTCATGAGGAGATTTGTGCATGATAGACGGCCAGAGTAAGTCCATCCTTCAGAGGAGCCCGTGTGAGGAGCCAGTGTGAGGGGTCAGTTTCCCAAGGAGAGGTCTGTACTGGCATGGAGAACAAAAACAGCAAGCAGAAAAAACTGCCCTTGGCTGTCAGAATCCTGCCCAAATGTTTTTTTATTTGACTTCCCTTCCATACAAAGCCTGTTGAGCGTGTTAGGCCCTGCCATGGTGGTATTTGTGAGAGCTGGAGATAGTCTGCAGAGCTGCTCGGCTCCCGGTGGTGGATCAGGTTAATGAATGCATTCGGAATGCTACTAGTGTTGCTCGAGAGCCAAGAGCGTGCCCGCTGGCATTGTATCAGCCTGTCACATTAATGAAATACAGTACATGTAGAGATTGCTCAATTTCCATTTCAACTTTTAAACTTTGTCTGGCTCCAGCTAATGATGTAAGAGTTAAATCGAGCATTCAAGTCACCAAGCGGCTGCTGTGAAACCCCTCTCAGCTCCTGCAGGTTCTGGATGCACATATAAGGCCATGAGAGAGCGTGTTCATATAGGCCATGACCCACTACTGCATCTGTCATGCAAAACCTAGCAACTACGTATGTCATGGAGCACTAAAGCCTGATAAGCTTAAGATGAAGTCAAGCTTCCAAATTACAGACGTATACTTTTCTGTCGAACCGGGATTAAAAGGTCCAGAATCTCCACAATATCACGACCGAATCTAAATGGTAGTAATATTATATAGGAAATCCTATACTCCAACTCTTGTCGCTGTTGTCTATGAAAAGCCTGACCTTCCTTATACACTATTATAGACCATGGTTCTTCCGAGACAACTATGCAGAATAATGATGACAATTCCCCCTCCTCCCCGTGCCATGTTTGATCCGACCTAAAGCCTGTATTTACGCAGCCGCCTGCTTCTCTGGCTCTGAACATTTCACAAGTTGCATCATGCCCCTGTCCCATTATTACCTCGAAATAAACCAGCACAGTGCCACAGTCTAATGTTACTCGCTTCAGGCTCTCCATTTGTCAGAGGCATTTCCTACTGTGCGAGATATGTTGTTTGTTCGTGAAATAGAGTGTGTACAGTGACCTCGCTCTGCTTCCCATGACAACAAAAACAAAGCAAACACGGGACACGTTCTATGAAGTTTCTGTGTCATCTCAGGAGTAGGATATTGTCTTATGCCTCAAATTGCGTTGTCATTGTAGTAACATAGACATACTTGAGCTTAATTGCGACTGTCAGCTTATTGTGACATGGTAGCAACCCTCCCACGTGCACTGAACCGGGCTTACTGTTACAGCTGCTGCTTTGTCTGCTTTGTGCGGCTAAACAGTGTCTACAGTTGTGTGCTTTCTCATAACGCTGTGTGTCCGACAACGACAGCAGCAAGTCAAAACACATGCATGTGGTTATGGGGTCCATGCTTTCTGCATTATGGGCCATGTAGAAAGCAGGGCAACACTATTGAGTCTGAAGCAGAGGCTTAAATGTCACTTACTTATTTTTGTAATGAAAGGGGGAAAATGCATTGGGCACCGTATGTTGTTGGTAAAAAAAGGGAGCTAACCATCCAGACAAATGCATGACGTGAACAATAGTCAACAATTATGAGGAGCAGGGAATAAGAATCAAGCATAACCAGGTTTAAATCAGGGAATGTAGGATGAAGGCATAGGGAGATGTGTTTGAGCTAATGCTTGAGTCTTCATAGTGGGGATGGAGCTAATCACACACACACACACACACACACACACACACATATATATATTTAATTATGTTCCATTATCTAGAAAAGAGGAAAGAAGTGAAGTGTAAGGGGTTATCATACCATCAACATTATTTAGCCGATCCTTGTCTGGTGTAAAAGCCTCCATTGAAAGTGCAAAGTGTGTCCTAAATTGAGCAAAGAATCATTGGAAAGAGACAAAAATCTAGATTGTGGTATTCTACTTGATCATATAATGGAAGACACTTCAGTTACGTGGCTCTCATAATTGTGAGGCAGTATTTAGGACATTTGCAAAAGGGTTTAGTCCACATGATGGAAGGAGGATCATTTTGATGGAGAGGAAAACATGGATACCGATATAAAAGTGTGTTAACCTTTTACATAATGGAGATATTTTTAATAAATTGTGACTTAATATAGATGGGTTTGGATATTCTGGTTGGTTAGTTCAGTTATGCTTGGATTCAACTGGAAAGTGTAACAAGGGTAAGGCTGGGTTTTGTAGATGCATGTGTACGTAGATAATAATACAAAACTGTCTTTTTGTACCTTTTCGGTTTATTATTTAGGATATAACATGCAACTTCAATTCAGTGAATCAGTGTAGAGAATGAATGTTGTTCTGTACTTTTCCTTCTCTGGACCCAAACTTCCCAGAGTGCCAGAGTTCTGTCACTCACACACAGTGGCACATTCGGACACCCGGCTTCCAGGGTCCCTCACCCTTCCTCTGGCTGGCCTTGTCTTCTGTGGGAGTCAAAGGCTGAGTGAGGGCGGGGAGCTCCGGAGTGGTGCATAATAGAGGTCTGACAGGCTGCCTTTCTGACCGCCTCATGTGCCTTGTCTCTCAGCAGAATTGCCCTGAATGCAGACAAACGGAGCCACAGCGGAGCATGCTAATAAACGAGCTGTGCGAGGGTTTTCAGGAGACCGGAAGTACGCCAGCTCCAGTCCAACCACGTCTGACGCCAACGGCCACCGACACCAGCAGCACGGAACTCAAACAAGTGATCAAAGAAAGGAGAGCTTTGAACAATGTGTGAGACCAGAAAGAGAGAGCAGAGAGAGACCAGAGAGAGACCACAGAGAGAGACTAGAGACCTGAGAGCGAGACCAGAGAGACACCAGAGAGAGATACCAGAGAGACCTGAGAGAGATACCAGAGAGAGACCTGACAGACAGACGAGAGAGAGACCAGAAATAGGTGCTCCCAGGGGACTCCAATCCAAATGGTTTTACTGCAAATGGCAAATAAACTGAATCTGAGTCAAGAAAGGGCTTTCTCCCTGATACATAAAATGATACATTTGTTCAGAAAGTCAACAGAAAGTCTTAAAAAAGTAAAATCTTGTGAAAAAATTGGATCAGAACATTCAGCTGAGTGACGGTGGTGTTTTAATTCTTATTTCTGAAATTTTTATCAAAAAAAATGACAGAAGCAAAAGTACATTCACAGAACCAAGCTGTTTTGAAAAGATGGACTTAGGTTTGGACCTCGGGGCCATTTGTCGTGGCCCTAGAACTGATTATGATTATTAGGGATTCATTTGCTGCATTGATGGTTAGAGAAAACAAACATGTAATTTAATCCTTTCTAAAATTATAACCCATTCTTGGATTTAAAAATGTCTTCGCTCTTGGTCAAGTTTTGGCTCACTCCTAACTGTCGCTGATCTAATTTCGTTCCATGAAAATCTACCAAAACATCAAATCCAAACTGATTTTTTTTTCAAATATTTACAGAATGTAAAAAATAAATCAAAAAAGTAGTCAAATACTTTTCCACAAAGACTTGATTATAGTTCCGGCCCCTTACAGCTGTTACTTTGCTGAAATCTATTGTTCCATTGTTTGTGGTTTGAAAGTTAGGGACCTCAGCTTTAAAGGTGGTTAGGGTGTATTTCCATGACAGTTTATCCAGCTCTCTTGCCCCATAGATGTCTCATAGACGCCCTGTTCTTGTATGTAGGTGTTTGAAACATTTAAAACATCATATTAATCATGTGAACAGGATCCTTGTGATGTCACACACAGCACATGTAATAACTCAATGGAGGCTGTTGTGATCATGTGACAGCTCTGGCTCTGACACATGTATGCGTTGAACCCTGTGGCCTCGGTGTTTTCAGGCTCTGATTCCCAGCAGAGCGGCAGCTTCTTGAGGCCAAGTGGTCCACGCCAACGAGAGGAGAAAGAGCGCAGACAAAACACGTCTGTGAACACACGGAGCTTTCACACATTAAGAAATCTGTCCTCGGTACACAAGCATTTGATAGTTTCATTTCAGAGCGGCTCCCACAGGGCCCCGTGCAGCTGCTCCATTCTGTGCATCTATTTTGGAGAGAGAAAGGCCATGAAGGCTGCCCCTCCAAAACAAGCCAGGTCCCAGGGTTATGTCTCTGCTACAATGACCATGACAAGTGTGAGCCGACCTCTTCCCTCAACCCCCCCCCCCCCCCCCCACCCCACCCCACCCCACCCCACCCACCCCCTCAAGCTTAAAAAGTACCTCATTTTGACCACATAGTAAGGAATAAAACAGATAAAAGTTTCACTCCTGTACTTTGAGCTACTTGTCTGGTGCACAATGGGGACTAGGGTTAGGGTTCGCACATGTATTATTCTAATGTGGTTTTACTGCAAATGGCAAATAAACTGAATCTGACGGTGCTTGCAGACTTCCATCCCGTAAACCAACTTTTTTTCTCCGTTATCAAAGGAAAGGCAGAATGTCAGAGGAGGAGCAGTGTGCAGAACTGTTGACACAATCCCTCTGTGTGCCGCCTAAATCCCGGATGTGGGATGATCCTGTCCTCCAAATCTCACCAAATCCTGCGGACACTGGTCGCTGAGAGGCCCGCTTTGCCCTGAGCCTGAGGGGAACATGGCAGGACCCCCCCTCACCCCCACACAGGACCCCCACCCGGGACCCCCACCCACTGCACAACACAAAGTCACGCACTCATCAGTTAATGCTCAACATCTGGAGGAATTAGCCGTGTCAGGCCAATCAGAGGCGAGCTGACAGATCCCAGAGAGAACGTACAGCTGCGATCCAGGATTCCACACACTTTGTCCTCCGTCAATTCTCTCCATTGTTGTGTTTTTGTGTTTTTGGAAAGCTGGGAATAGTGCGATGTTTAAGTGCTGGGGTCAAGAGGCAATCAGAGAAAACAATGTCAGTTTGTTAGATTTATGTCGAACCTGCAGAACACAATTTCCTGGTTTCAAATCCCGGTCGGAACAGGGCATTTCTGAGTGGAGTTTGCATGTTCTCCCCCTGTCTGTGTAGGTTTCCTCCGGGTGCTCCGGTTTCCCTTACCACTAAATACATGTACATTAGATCTGGCATGTGCTTTCTGTAGGCGACCCTGCTCTTTGTGCGGAGTGGGAGACAAATGGCCACAATTGTAAAGCGCTTTGTGACTCTGTATATAAATGAAGATTACTTACTTACTTACTAATAATTTGAGAAGGAGTTGGATGAAGCAGATGACAATTTTTTCCCAAACTCCTCTCACAATTCAACACACTAATGCACAGAATACAATGCAATTAATCAATATACAATATCAATACAAATTTGTGCTGTACCTACAGTATATACAATACCCTACCGTGGGGTAATAGACACACAAAACACCCAAACACACACACACATACATACACACACACACACACACACACACCGGCCCAAACACTCACAAGTATGTATTCAAGTTTCTTCACTTAAGGAAAACAAACAAATCCATGTTTTATATCAGGGGTGTCTAAACAAATATCGAACTGATTGATTGTAAGTAAGTAATCTTTTTTTATATACGTAGCTCCTTTCCCAGACCAGAGTCACAAAGCGCTTTACAATTGTTGTGGACTTTTGTCTTTCACTCCACACTGAGAAGGGAGCAGGGGTCACCTACAGGAGGCACATGCCAGATCTAGTGTACATGTTTTTAGTGGTGGGGGAACTGGAGCACCCGGAGGAAACCTACACGGGGAGAACATACAAACTCAACACAGAAAGGTCTGGAGCTGGAATCAAACCCAGAAGCACTGCGCCACCGTGCCGCCCAGTGTAGTAAAAGTCCAGTACTGGGGTGAAATACTCAGCCCCCTCTGCTGTTTTGGCCCGCTCTTCTCTGAGGCGGTGTGTGAAGAGCACGTTGGAACCAGTGGGGCCGGGTCCTGGCTCCAAAAGGTTCATGAGCACGAGCGCTGACTTGCTTGAAATCTCACGCCTGGCTGGTGGGGGTGTACCTGGAAAGAGAATTACCCAATGCTTTTGTATGGCCACTTCTTTCCCCCTGAAAACGTCTTTACAGGATGGTCCAAAAGTCGCTCTTGGCCCAAAGCTACTTTCCAATGCTGAGCGGAGTATAATTTTTTGGACCAGCCTGAGTCTAGTTAAGCCGCTGTGGACTTTAGAATGCACTCGGCAAATGAATGGGGCTAGTGCCGGCTAACGCATGCTCAAATATGTTTTTGTTCCACATTTTCCTGCCCCGCGGCCATTTTGAAACTGCCCATAGAAGCCAAAAGCGGTGGCACATTAGTTTCAACGGCGGAGATAGGCGTGACTACGTCTGTTAATATTTACAGTCTATGGTTGGAACCGGCGGATCGGACCTCGCAATCAGAATCCCTAATGGAAAATCAGGCAGGAGACGAAGAGGGGTCAAAACACCACCTGCTCCAAATGTTTGCAGCTGTAAATCTTCTCCGCTCCGTTGCATCCTGTCTGCTGTATAAACACGCGCTAACTCTCCTTCCAGACGAGCAAAAACATACACACACACACACACACACACGTCACTATGCCATCTTCACACACATTTCATCGCATCAGTCGACCCACAAAGACAGAATTAGCACATATTGGATGGGTGTCAAAGTGTTGAAGGCTGAGAACCAAAAACAGTCAAATAATCGTGAAATGTGTTATTAATGTTGCTTTCTGAAACATGAATGATGATGTATTACCTAGCATGTGTGTTGCTATGGATACACATGTTACATTGCTGTGTGTAAGAGTACAAACTGAAAGTGTGAGGATAGAAATTGGTTCAGGATTGATTGTAAAATGACATAATATGACTTTTGTTTAACATGTATTGTTTCAGGGGCTAATGTAGCTTCCTGGGAGTTCCCTTTTACAAACTTTAGAAATTAGGATCTATGTGACTTGTTGAAGTTTTGTAAATGAAGAGAATTTAAAATGTTTTTTTAATGTGTCTTGTGCTGAACCTGTGTATGTAAAGTCCAGTTTGGGCAACGATTAAACTGTAAGCAGTGGAAAAATTGAATAGAAGTGATGTGACTTGACAAAACACAAAACTATTTTAAATAAGTGTTTTTGTGTTTATAGTGACCTGCTACATCCCCTCACTTAAAGCTGGGGTACCTTAATCTCGTATCACAAAAAAAAAACAAAAAACTTTGTGATAAAAATCCATCCAACAAACTAGTTCTTCATTCTATAACCAGTGTATATTCCTGCAAGTGAAAGCCAAATCCGACAGACCTCTGGAGCTAAGCAGGACAGGGCCGGTTAGAACTGTGATGGGAGACCTCTGGGAACACCAGTGGGGCGGCTGCAGCTGTAAAGTGCTACGCTGTCGTTGTGTCCTTGGGCAAGACATTTCACTCACATTAGAATGAGTCTGGTGTGTGCGTGAATGGTTGGTTGTAGTTGCTTTTGTCAGTGTGCCCCAGGGCAGCTGTGGCTACAGTAGTAGTTTGGAGTGATAAAGACGCTATATAAAACTGATGCATTATCGTTATTGTCATTAACAATTTGGTTTCATCATTAATTTTCACATTGTCTATTTATGGCCTTTCTCTAATCTTTGTATTCACTTTTTTAGATAGAAAAGGGACAAATGCAAAAGATATCACGTTTTCTCATGATGTGTTCACAGTGTCTTACTTTTATAAGACTTTATGTCAGGAAAAAAACAACATGGATTATTTATGAAAAAAGTTGGTGTACCGCAGCTTTAAACTGACAGACTATGAATCCATCTCACATCGTGTAAAAGTCCAAACACTAATCTTCCTGTGGATAAACAGTGACTATTTCCCCCAGATAGAGCCGCTGACGTGCGTGTAGTCTCCCGCCGGTGATGAAATGGCCTGGGATAGAGTTGCTGGAATGCACCCTCGGTCTCGCTTCTACTGGGACTAATCGCTGGGGCTTGCCGATCCGGGCTCGGACACATCTGATCCCAAACAGCTGCTGCTCAGAGCCAGGCCTCGGCTCAGAGAATGCCCACAGTGTAGGGTCCAGCAGCACGGACCCCCACCCTCATGTTAGCCTGCGGCACCTGTCTCTGAGACCAGGGGATCGGGAAGTGTTTTTGACAAATATGGACTTAAATGGAAGGGAAAACAAGCTTAAAGGGGACATCATTTAAGAATCGACTTTTATATGTTTTTGGCCATTCATACATCGCGCGGCCCCGGACCTTGTTCTACGGCCTGGGTCCTGGATCCCCCTCCCTCAATGTGGTTCTCCCTGAGGTTTCTCACTTCTCTCCCACTGGGTTTTTAGAGTTCTTTATTGCCGGTGCAGGGGGACAGTGGTCCTTAGACCTAAAAAAAAAACGTCAGGGAGGAATGAGGGAACAATGTTGTAACATGGTCAGAAGCTCAAAAAATTATTTGCAAAATACAGGTATATTTCATCAAGTTGGGGCCGTAATTATAAATATGAAGCCCAATGCAAACAATTTATGTCGATCAATCTATAATTATTTGTAGAGCACTTTTTCACAACAACCCAACCCCAAACAACTTCTATAAACATTTTTAACAGGTTAATAAATAATAACACACTATCATTCAGCTTTCTTTATTTTTTCCTCATGATCTTTGCTTTGACAACAGTTGGTGGACTGCTCTCTATAGTTAGCGGCCTAAAGCCATTAAAGTGAACATATTTGAGTAAGTGAGTGATCTTTATCTGTGCAGCGCATTTCACATTGGGTCACACAAAGCATTACCACTACACAGCTGCAAAACAGGCGCTCAACCATCACCGACCAGTTCTGTTGCACATGTTTTAGTGGTCGAAGAAAACAGAGCAACGCAGACATAGAAAGAGCATGCAAACTCCAGACAGAAAGGCCTCGTCTGGCTCAAGGATCAAACCCAGAATATTTTTAGTTAGTGTAAAATATTCAAACATTTCTAAGAAAAAACCTTTAGCTGAAAAAGGCATCTAAAACACTGAAGAATAAAAAGTCAAAAAGCCATTCAGCAAAGTTCAGTATTTGTATATTGTTGTCTTTACAGTTAAGTGCTATTAGATTTAAATATTATAAATAATGGCAAGATTTTGAATGCCTTTGGGCCTGAAGGTCGTGGGTTCGAGCCCACCATAAGACCACCACAATACCTACTTCACAACTCCCACTGATGTCTGCTGTCGTTGTGTCCTTGGGCAAGACACTGAACCCCACTTTGCCTGAAGCCCCCGCTGAATAATCAAGGCTCCTGTGGACTCACCACCTGCAGGAGGATCAGTGAGGGGCTGGTGCTCTGTGTACTGGGTGCAGCTCTGACTGACACATTGGTCACAATGCTCTGTACTGAAAGGCCTGGAAGACAAACCTTTACTACAGATCTTTCTCCATCTCTGTGTGAGACAAACCCATATTGTGTTGTCTTGCCAAACAGTCAGATATAAAATCGCACTTTAGTCCAAACCTACTGATATTTTCGGCAACACCACAGGAAAAGAACTGAGCTGACCCTAAACCCAGAATCAGGGGATAAACCCACAGCTCCACAGTCAAATCCCTCAAACACACACATCCATAACACACACTGTATCATTAGATGTGCTCTCCGAGGGAAACCACTCAGCCCACCAACCCGAACACGTCCAAGTGATAACACCGGCTCCAGAGTGCTGATTTCCTGTCTGCTTTCACCTGGCAAAGAACATCTTTAAAGTTAGAGAAGAGAGTTTTAGTCAGCTCAATGTGCTTTCACGTCACATAGTTCTGTACTAATAGGCCTGGAAGACAAACTTTTACTACCACTATCATTCCCCTTTTTCTACAGATCCCTCTCTCAGACACACACACACTGACACACACACAGACACACACACACACACACGCACACACGCTGCAAGGCAAATCGAAGCCAGTTCTGAACAGAGCCAGATGGTTTACATAAAAAAGCAGCCAGTAGTTCTTTTGAAAGCTTCAGGCTGAAATCTGAAGGCAGCCATCCTCTCATTACTCTTCAACATTCTCCTCATCTATCTGAAGGCCCGGAGCTCAAAGTATGCATTGACCTGATACTCTTTTTATCACTGAACTTAGCATTTGTCTTTATACAACGCTAGTTTTAAAGTGGCTAATAGGAAGTGGTAAGTCATTTATAGGCTCTTTTACATGCAGACAGTTGGGTGTAGGTAGCGCGTGTCTGCACTGTCATTAATGAGTCCTGCTACATGAGGCAACACTCGGACCCGCACACCAGAGCCGGACCCCTGACCCGGACCTCAAACCCGGACCCCAGACCCAGAAACAGTTCCACATGGAGGGAAATGGAGTTAAGAAATGGAGTTCTGCCTGTAAACTGCAGAATGGAGGCTATACACATACAGTATAGCTTTCACACATTTAGTTGAGGAGTATTGTAGATGGATGGGATTTTACTCATACAAGACAAGTACTGGGTCTGAACAGAACCAGAAACACTCTTGGACCATGTGACCAAGCTTTAATACAGTGATTGGATCTCAGGACTTTATGTGGATTCAGCTGGTCTTAGTGCGGAGGTACCATGAGCCGTTTGGATTCAATTCAATTCAACCAAGCAGATCAAGAGGAAGTACACTGGAGGAAACTTTTTGTATTCAGAATTTCAATCTGAACCAGAGCAGAGAAAATGGTTCAAACCAGGCATGTTGCATTACTATTGTGAGTAACTTATAGAAATATGTATTTATTTGTTTGTTTGGATGTGTTTCTGCTGCTTTGGGATTAGAATGATTTAATCCAAACTTACATTACTTATATTACTCACTATTTTTCAATCAATTTGATGTTTCTAGTAATTACAATAAACAATTCATACATGTCTTTTGAATGGACAAAGAATATATTCACATATTTAAGCTACAGATATAGTATAGCAATGTTGAAAATGATTGATTCATTTTGCATTCATATAGCCAACATAGCCATGGGTCATGTGAGATACAGTAGCTGCAGATTTTTATTTCACTTGTGCCAAAATGCCTGTGATACACTGGAAAATCACAGATTAGGTAAAATGCCGGCCTACACCTGTTTATTTTTAGCTTTTAATTTTTTTTGTTTATTTTTCTTCTATAAAGCCTCTTTGAGTGTCCAAAAAAAGCGCTATAAAAGTGTGATGGATTATTATTTTTTCATTATTAATTTTTTATTTACTGTAGAAGAACCACATAACTGAATTTTTAAACTCATATTTCCGATTTTCTGAACGTGTATTTATTGACGTCAACCGAGACTCCTCACACTTCTTCTTCTCAGCTCATTGTTGCTAAGTTCCAGAATGATAACACAACATCACTCGTATGCGGTAAAGTGGTTATAAAACTGGGGGACGTGGTTAGAAGAAAAAAGTGGATCTTTATGAGAGTTTCAGCTTATGATTGTTACAACTGTGTCCCTTCTGCATGGGAATACATGGACCACAAAAGTCTGTAAAAGCTCCCAGTGGGTGGCCTGGCATCAAACACAATCTGAAATTATACAAAAACCATACATTTGTTGAGTATCCATTGTATTTGAAGCGTTAAATAACTATGGCATGGCATATTAGTTAATTCAAAACTTAAAAATTCATGATTTTTCAATTCTCATATGCTTTATAGGTCCCTGCTTCATCTTTTTTTGTGAAGTTTTATTACCCACGGCTCATTAAAAGTCCAAACCAAGCTCTGTGGAGCGTACCACCCGCCACCGAGAGAAAGAGGCGTCCTGTCTACCCGTGATTAAAAAGTCATTTTGTGGATGCGCATGGTAACGGAGACATGCACCGTGGCTCCTCTCATAATGGACCGATGTGTTCCCCAATAGACCAGGTGCTCGCTTAGGTCTGAACCAGTGACCTCTTACATCGGAGTAAAACCTTAATTATGGTTGAACTGAATCAAAACAGCCGGAAGACGTTCAGAGGGAGTTTAGGCCTCTTCAACAATTATATATTCTATTAAACCATGATCACATTTCACAGAGGTTGACCTGGTATGAGGGGGAAGGAGGGGTGGTCTTATCAAATATAAATGTTGTTCAGTTCTACAGCGCCATCTAGTGGTTAGACAAAAGCAAACGTGAGCTTGTTTATCTTGGAATCAATGCCATGTCCATCTGAGACGGTTTTGCACGTTCTCCTTGCTGCCCCTTGTTGCTTTGGTTTCTCCCTGTCACTAACTGGTCAGGGGGTGCCGGATGAACCACTATATCAGGGAGATCAATGTCAAATATGTCAGAGGCCAAAAAAACAAATTTGCTGCAATCTGAGGGTCGGACTGGTTCAATTTTTATACAAAACATTTTAGAATGACGCATATCACCTATAGAACCAAGACCTAACACAGTGGACTGTATTTTATTCGATGATTTAATGAGTAATCCAATATCTTTGTGGCTCTGTCAGTCATTTCATTTGTCAACAGCTCACAGACAAAAACAATGTTCCTTCAAAGATAAAACACACTCAAAATCAAATTATGAATCCATATCTTCTTATGGCTCCGTGCGGCCGGTTCAAATACTAATCAAATATCATCACCGTGGGCCAAGATTCAACATTGGGGTGAATTACTAGGGATTGAAACATCTTGGCCTCTCGTTAACTTCATTAGGACCCGGGGCCTTGACTTTGACACCCACGCACTACACCTAACTAGGTCAGCACTTAACAATTACTTTCTTCTTCAATTGGATGATTACCCAAGATACATGGTCATGTTGGTTTAGTTAAGGACACAACAACTATTGGCACTTTAATAAAATAAAATATACCATAATCCTTGGATCAAGTCCTGGATCTTCAGCCCGTCCGTCCATGGGAGCGGATTCCTCCCTCAATGTGTATCTCTCTCTGAGCTTTCTCGCTTTTCTCCCACTGGGTTTTTAAAATTGTTCCTCTGATGCAGGAAGGTCTTAGGACAGCAATGACCCAGGACACTCCACATTCAACAACATGTGTTTTTATCATTGCATTTTTTCAAATACAGAAAGTGGTGAAGATGGAGGGGACACAGGAACTCTCTGATGGACCGCTGACAGATTTTTTATTATTATTTATTTTTATTTATTAATTACTCTTCAAAAAATCCGTTAAAATTCTGGATCAAAAGCCTTGGTCATATCATCAGTGCAATATCCTGGACCTGGAGAAATACAAAATGCTCAATTTTCAAAACTTTAGTAATTTTAAAAACTGTTGCCTTATTTACAAAGCACTTCATGGTCTTGCCCCGCCCCCACTCTCAAACGACATTAAAGCTAAAGCAGTGACAGCGTCCTCTAGAGGAGATGTGGAGATCCCACACAGAAAAACAACATTTGGACAAACTGTGCTGTCGGTCAGAGGAGGTCAGTGTTGGAACAACCTTCCTATAAAAAAACAACTAAAACACCATTTTAAAGTAAATCAGTCCTGCACTCATAATTTCGATAGTTATATATTCTCCTTTTGTATTATTATTATTGTGTGGCCTGCCTCGGGACTATGGATGTAAATCAGCAGTTTTGCTACAATATGGCACATTTACAATTTGTGTACAACTTGTATATGATTGTTAATTAACGTGTGTTGTCCTGTCCTGTGTTTTGGACACATTTTCTAGTTATGGGACAGCGGGTGAATAGCAATGAACAGGTAAAGGCGAATACATCATGATGACAGATAATATAGGAATGGAACGTGTCTCCATATGCAGCTTTATGGAGAATCTGTGTTTTTAGACTTAAAGTTGTATTTCTAAGTCTTCCCTGAGTCTTACCGACCTAACCATATGCTGAATCAAAGAGGACTGTTTTAAGCCTGGCCTCGATTATAGAGATATCCATAGTTACTCAGTAGGAGTGAGAAGTATATATCTTTGCCTTCAGCCTCACAGCCGTCCCGAATTTGCATGTTCTGCCCATGCTAGCATAGGTTTCCTGTCATTCTAACAAGTCCACTGAACACATACAGATGCAGACATACTTGACATGGTTTTGGCCTGAGCTTCTGTTTGTTTATGTACGTGGCCTCTTCGGGAACTGACCTGGAACAACTGGATTAACAAGATTTAGTAGACATTTGAAAGTGTTTTGTGAAGTTCAAGCTGTAGGTAAGGAGGTGTGTGTGTGTGTGTGTGTGTGTGTGTGTGTGTTTCTGTCTCTTCTCCAATATCACCTCATTGGTCAAAATACTGTGAAAAGAAAAGAATGTGAGAAGATTAGATGCTTGTTTTATTATCCATATAAAACACTTTGACGAGAATGAGGCTGCTTTGTTAATAAAGTAAATTTTTTGTCTTGGCTGGTGGTAAATTTGTGGCTCAAAAAGGTTTCGAAGCACTGCTATAGCGACGCCAAAGGCAGTGTCAAAAGCACAAGACAAATTTCCCTGCAGGGACAATAAAATATACCATTACCTTCACATTAACCGATGATATTCTCGGGGTTTAGAATTCCCCTGACCCCTGTGTGACTGGAGTTGAACAAGAGTTTATTGAGTTAGAGAATTAGTGGGTGCAACAGAGGGAGAAGGTCAGGGAGGATGTGTGTGACGTTGGAATACTGTAAGGACGGAGCCCGGTCCCTCTCCAGGGCAGAGGCAGAGATCAAACCACGAAACCTGGGGGATTCCAACGGCACGCTGCAGGTGAGGGCCGGAGGAGGACGCAGAGGAGCCACAATACAACTTATTATCAGTCTGTGTACGGCTGTCTTTGTCACAGTGGAGCTAAACAGGCAAAAGGAAGAAATGGGAGTGAGAGTGTTGTCAATGTAAAGAGCTGAATTAGGTTGTAAATGAGCTGAAGGAAAGTTTAAAAGAAAAAGATTAAAACGAGGGTTTCATGGAGACTTAAAGTAGCAATATGTAAGATTTCCCTCTTAAGTCATCGTTAAATGCTCCTAATCTGTCTAAAAGTATTCATAAACCAAGCCCTTTTCCAATACTTCTTCAACCGATAACAGTAAGAGATATTCAAATTTCAAAATTAGTTTTACTGCGGCAAAATGTTGTTATTGTTTTCATTTCGAGGTCCCGCCCTCCACCGTTTAACCAATCAAAACGTCTGTGATCCGGGTTGCCAGAACTCACCGCAGCGAGCTAATCTCACTAAAAGTAAACATTTTCTTGTTATGATTCTCAAATCATTCATACCAAAACAAGGAATAAAACCAGGATTTATATCGGGGCCTTTGTGATAAAGGTGTTGGTTATAGATTTGTTGTTGACAAAACTCTTGTCTATTCAGTTATCATGGTCCCAGTCGGATGTGTCTGCATATCTGGTAACCTGAGTCAGGGAGAGTGGAAGGGGTTGCAGTACCACTTTTGGCCAGATTTTTACATACTGCTCCTCTCTTCCACTCACAGAACAAACAGCAAACAGCCTGCGTCCTCTAGCCTCTACAGCGCTGGTGATAAACACAGCAGCATATTAGCAAAAAGTGGTTACTTCTTCAGTCTGTAACTGCAAACACAGCAAAACAGCCCAAACGACACAACAGCGAGGAAGAGAAGAGGGAACTAAAGCGAAAAAGTGATCAAAGAAGACATCATGCCCGGGTGAACATACGTAGCGTTAGCTTTCCGTTAGCTTACCGTTAGCTTACCGTTAGCTTGCATGGTATCCTCCGGAGAGACCTGAGGCTTAGGGACCGCCTCGGACTATCTATGCTGGGACATTTGGACGCGAAACTAGCGGTAATCTTTCAGTTATATATTTTGTTAGCAGTGCGTTGCTTTTGTACCATTTCATCAGTTATTGTTGTACAGCTTACAAGAAGTTGCGCTAATGCTAACGTTAGCATACGTATCAGATCGCAAATAAAAATAGATGGCTCTGTGGGATGAGAGCGTAAGAGAAATGAGAAGCCTGTGAGCGAGTTGGGGGGCGGTGCTAAACATTCAAACTGAGAAAAACCTAGGAGAATCGGGTATAGCTCCTTTAAATCTGTCACTCAATTCACAAAGCACCAGGTACTCTCTGGTCCTCCTGCAGGTGGTGGTCCTCTCTGGTCCTCCTGTAGGTGGTGGTCCTCGCTGGTCCTCCTGTAGGTGGTGGTCCTCGCTGGTCCTCCTGCAGGTGGTGGTCCTCTCTGGTCCTCCTGTAGGTGGTGGTTCTCTCTGGTCCTCCTGTAGGTGGTGGTTCTCTCTGGTCCTCCTGTAGGTGGTGGTCCTCGCTGGTCCTCCTGTAGGTGGTGGTTCTCTCTGGTCCTCCTGTAGGTGGTGGTCCTCGCTGGTCCTCCTGTAGGTGGTGGTTCTCTCTGGTCCTCCTGTAGGTGGTGGTCCTCGCTGGTCCTCCTGTAGGTGGTGGTCCTCTCTGGTCCCCCTGCAGGTGGTGGTCCATTATCCACAGGAGAATGGTTGCTCCGTCACAAATGACACAACCTTGGTTTTTCAGTGGGGGCTTCAGGCTGAGCAATGGTACAATGTTGTAAGAAAGTGCATTCAGGTATTATTAAACTGAAATTACGTTTATACATTGAATCTGTTCTATCTATCTGTTCTACGTTTATACATTGAATCTATGTTAATTAGAGAAATAGATAGATTGAACATGGCACACTCAAAAGCTGAGATATGGACGAGAGAGGATAAAAGCACAAATGTGGTCCTTAACCGTTGGGATGACTTAGCACCGGCGTCATCGGGGTATGTAACCTCTGGGGAGAGGGTTAACAAGGCATTATGGTCTTTGGCGGTAGACAGCCCCCTCCTCCTTAACTACCTTAAATCATGGAGCCAGTGCAGATCCTTTTTCAGAGCGCAGTAAAGCAGCACCTCGGGCAGCTTCATGTGTCAGTGACAGCCTGAACACGGCTCTGGTCCTGAGCTATGGTCCTGGGCTATGGTCCTGGGCTCTGGTCCCAGCCATATCCCCTCCCAGATAAGACGCTGTGTGAGATCGTGTGACAAACATTTCTCTCTATGGGACAGTTTTATACTGAATTCAATCCAAAAAAATGGATAGCCCTAAATCACAACAGTAGTTATCTCAATCAACAAAACTTCTGACAGTACATAGATGGACAATGCTAATCCCCTTGCTAAATGAAACCCAATAAGAAAGTGGCTTTTGCAACCGCTAGCTCTGGCTTCTATTGACTTACTTTGAAAAATAAACTCTTCTCTCTCAGAAACTGTTTCTCACCATTTTGGGCTATACAAAATCTGTGGTTTGTCACTCTCTATGGTTGTGGTCCCTTTTATTCTGATATTGTCTTTGTAAATCCAGATGAGCCATAAGGATTAACCAATCAGATGGCTTCCTTTGCACGGGAAACTCCAGCTTGCCTTTGCAACTACCTGAAGAATGCCCATATAAGGAAATGGGCTCCAGCTTATGTTCAAATCGGCTTCTTCCGCATTCAGGAAACACTATGGTGATGTCACCTACTGGTCTTCATATGCTGTCGTTGTGGCCGGTAATCATTTTGTTCTGTCTTGTATTTTTCATGTTTTGTATTTGTATTAGATCAAATACAATTATTTAAAGGTGCATTGTGACTTTTTACATACATGTTTTTTTGCTATTGGTCCTATAGAATCCTACAGGCACTGGGTCACTACAAGGTCTGATATTTAACCAACTCATTGGTTGTGTATGAACTATGGGTCACACTTTAGTTTAACCCTCACTTTTTAGCAGCTAATTATTGTATAATTGATGGGTAATTATCAATCAATTGGTAGCTATGTATAAGCATGTATAAGTCCTCACTCTATATGGCCTTATTCTACATTGAACTAACTATAAACTGACACTTTCCCATGTGGTTTAGGACTTGGGGGACACTAATTAACACTTGATTAGCTGTTATTTTGTGAGAGTTAGTGTTAGGGTTAATCTAATCTGTTACCAAAATATACTAAACAAATACATTTTTCTTTTCCTGCTTTACAGTTTTAAGATGTTGTATTGTCACTGAAAACAAAAAGACGTTTGCTTTTCCGGTGAAAGGATCTGGAATCACTGTGACATCGTCTCAAAACCAAATCTGTCGTTCTAATCCTAAAGTGAGTCTGTAACAATGGGCTGTTTCCGGACTGTCGTGTCGCAGCCTGCACACAAGACTGAGCTTCAGATTATTGTTGCATCTTTACGAGCTCTTTGATCTGTTTTTATCCACTCTTTAAGCCTTTATTAAAACACTTCTTACACAATTTACCGTACATATGGCACCAGTTAAGATGGATGTGTTTGAAATGAGGTCTGATGGCTTCACTCCTGCTTCCAAGTTCTCCCAGATTATTGATAACAAATGATAATAATAATGCATCAGTTTTATATATAGTACTTTTATGGACCCTAAAAGTCTCTTCACATGTTATTATTCTTTCACTCCAAACACAGTGGTGATAAACTACTACTGGAGCCACAGCTGCCCGGGGCACACTGACAGAAGTGAGGAAACCAGTCTGTTCCATCGGCCCCTCCCATCACCACCAACCATCCATGCATGCCGTGTGTCTGTATTTTTGTGTGTGTATGCTTGTGCTTGTGTGTGTATGCATGCATATGTGTGTGTGAGTGTATGCATGTAACCCAGCCAAGCGATTCGCAAAAACCACCTCACTCCGTATTCTAAGTGCAAAGCGTTTACACGGCAACGGAAAACGATGTAGTTCTAGCGTCCGACCAGTAGTGGGCAGTGAAACTTTACAGCATTACCCACAGCCGTAAAAACACTTTGTCAAAAACATCCTTCTCAGGCCTCCGGAAACACCAAGCATCATTCTGCATTTAACAGATCAGCATTAGTTGATCTGACGCCATTGTTGTTTACGTTTGTTCTAAAGAGGGGGGGTAGTGAGGTCATCGCAGCCACCGAGTTCACACCCTAACCCCCCCCGCGTAGGCACAGCCATTTTGTTCCAATCTAGAGGTCGTTTTTCAAAGCTTGTGTTTTCACCAAAAGGCAAATCTGTTTATCAACTTTATTGTTTTACTGTCACAGCGTCTCCATGGAAACAGGGCCTAAAAATTTGCTTCATCCCGTTTTCACACCTGTGCGATTGTGTTTGTTGTACAGCTTTGAAATAAATAAATACATGAATTAACTAAAATGTCAACACAGTACAAGACGGTCCCGTGTCCGGAGGCCCCCAGGGTCCAGTGTCCGGAGGCCCCCAGGGTCCAGTGTGTGGAGGGGAGCAGCTCGTATAAAGACGCGCAGGTCTTTTATACGTCTTTACTGTTAGTGTTAGCGGGGCTTTATGGCTCCTCTGGCTCCAGTGACGTGTGGGTGCTGCCTGTGAGTGCGGCTCTGACTTTACTGCCTTTAAAAGTCGTCTGGGAGAGAACCCCTGTGTGGGACGCCACTAATGAGACTCGGCGAGACTTCAATGGCCGCTGTCACATGGAACCGGGAGCGACGCACTTCCTGCTGCTTCAGTAAACCGTCGCACAACATTTACAGTGTGAAAAGGCTAAAGATTAAGATTAAATTGAATAGATATTTTATTCGTACCAAGTGGGGAAATGTCAGTGTTGTATCACCAGTTACAGAACAGTAGGAATGAGGAGCACACAGCACAAGATAATTTAACATTAACTCTATACAATCTAATCTTAACCATCACTTTAGCATAATAAAGAGTTAAGTATACAATCTCTAAATATAGTTGTTTGCATCTGTACATGTTAGCAGTATGTCTGGGACACAGTGACACTGACACATTTGTATCTATAATACACATTGTGACATTAGTTCAAGTCATTGCACAGATTCATGACATGTGAAGTCAGGTCGGCAGAGTTCATTAGTCCTCATTGTTCGTTGTACAGTCTGACAGCAGCAGGAAGGAAAGACCTGCAGAACCTCTCCTTCACACAAAGTGGATGTTGCCCATACAGGTGAAATGGGAATATATTTAGAACATTGAATAAGATAAGATGAAATCAACGCTATTGTCCCCGAGGGATATTGTCTGTGGGAGACAGTGCTACACAGATCTGCATGAAAGAAGAAGAAAAAAAGGAACATGAGAAACAGGAAAGAGCAGAAGTGCTTTGAAGTGTCTGTTTAGTTCAATTCTGCATCCAAAATAATAATAGGTCCTGCATGGAAATTGAAATAGTTCATATAGTTTTAGCATGTAGGCCTCAATCATTATTCATTATTTTCATTTAAACGAGGCACAAAGAAATCTGAAATATTGGTAGTTATTGACAGACTGTTTTGTTACATTTCCAGTTTTCAATCTCAGATGTTAAACAACCCTCTGATGAGGCTTTTTCCCACTAGAACCCTATGGTTTTGGATCCTGGCACAACAGAGGGAAAGGTTGGTGAGTTTTTTAGACCCGGGTTGAGGATGCTGTTGTAAATTATATTTATTTACTTGTTTGTTTGGATTGATATGTTTCTGCTGCTGGACACAATAAAGTATCTATCTAAATAAAAACTGAACATTTGGGAAAGAGAGTACAGACATTTAAGTGAAATATAGCCACTGAGGGACGAGTAAAGGATCTGTAGAATGTGAACAATCACATGACAACAACTGCTGCTGATGGTTGGATGCAGCAATAGTTTAAACAATAGATATTGTTTATCACCAAACAAAAGAACACAACAGACAACCACAGCGTGCTCGCGACGGTCAAGGTTAAAAAACTCATTTTGTAGATTCAAGCTGCAGTATATAACTTATTTTGTTGTTCTGAAAAAAAGTATTTTACAGACTGAGAGCTGATTGGCTGAAATAGCTTGTGATTATTCATGATTTTAAAACCATTGCTATGTCAACCATTGGTATGGGAACTGTCAACCAACTGCTACCATGACAACTGACAGTTGAATCATGTTTTAATCTGAATTTCTTGTTTGTTTCCAGTTGCCAAAGTGATGCTTGCCAGGTTAGTGATTTCCATAGCAATGGTTGCCATGGAAATGTTAACCATTGCTATGGCAATGGTCACCATGGAAACCGTTGCTATGGCAATGGTCACCTTGGCAACCGTTGCTGGGGCAATGGTTACTATGGCAACTGTTGCTATGGAAATGGCCACCAAGGAAACCGTTGCTACGGCAATGGTAATCATGGCACTCATTACTATGTCAATGGCCACCATGGCAACCGTTGCTATGGCAATGGCCACCATGGAACCGTTGCTATGGCAATGGTTACTATGGCAATGGTTACTATGGCAACAGTTGCTAGGTCAATGGCCACCATGGCAACCATTGTTATGGCAATGGTCACCATGGCAACCGTTGCTGGGGCAATGGTTACTATGGCAACTGTTGTTATGGAAATGGTCACCAAGGAAACCGTTGCTATGGCAATGGTAATCATGGCAACCATTACTATGTCAATGGCCACCATGGCAACCGTTGCTATGGCAATGGTCACCATGGCAACCGTTGCTATGGCGATGGTCACTATGGCAACCGTTGCAATGGCAACCGTTACTATGGCAGTCTGAGAACCGTTGCTATGGCAATTGTCACCATGGCAACTGTTGCTAGGGTAATGGTTACTATGGCAACAGTTGCTATGTCAATGGCCACCATGGCAACCGTTGTTATGCCAATGGCCACCATGGCAACCGTTGCTGGGGCAATGGTTACTATGGCAACTGTTGCTTTGGAAATGGTCACCAAGGAAACCGTTGCTATGGCAATGGTACCATTGATTATGGCAATGGTAATCATGGCAATCATTACTATGTCAATGGCCACCATGGCAACCGTTGCTATGGCAATGGTCACTATGGCAACCGTTACTATGGCAGTCTGACAACCGTTGCTATGGCAATAGTCACCATGGCAATTGTTGTTGTCCATCATCACTATGTGAACTATCACCATTAACCAACTGTTACCATGACAACTGACAGTTATGTTTGAAAGGACATTTCTTGCAAGATGTAGATGTCACCATGGCAACAGTTCCCATGGTGACTATTGCATTGCAACGGTTGCCATGGTGACTATTGCCATAGCAACTGTTGCTATAGTGACCATTGTTATGGTGATTGTTGGGAGTTTGTTTAAAGTTGTCATGGTGATAGTTGCCAGTGATTGCAATGCCAACCGTTGCTGTGGCAATCACAATGGCAACTGTTACCTTGGAAGCATCACGATGGCAACTGTCACCTGCATTTGTTCAACGGGGATCGATAATCTACATCTCTGTCTGTCTAAAACACTGCGGTTTGAAGATCTTTCCATTGCATCCATTGAGACGCAGCCCTGCTCTCCTCTGTCCCAGAACCCCCGCTCAGGCCCAGCTCAGGTCCAGCTCAGGTCCGGTGGATCGTCGTCAGTGAAAGCCGTCAGTCGCCCCGTACACTGTGGCCTCTCTCTTGCAGCTCGTGGATATATGGCCTCGTGCGCATTCCAGGATGCAGCGTCATAAGTCACTTTTCTCCTGTGTCAACCCCTGTGTTTGCCACCACACCCACCTGAGCATCAATCAAACGGGGCCCGAGAGCTTTCAACAGTCTCCACATTCAGGATCTCAGTCTGCTGCATGTGGAAGAATCTGTGTGTTCCAACGATGCACATTATGCAAAATATCCTTTATTCAATTTTCGAACAACGTCCCACAAGTTTGTTTCCACATCATTCAACAGTAAAGGTTAAATCGATTCTGTTCAGTATCACATCTTTATTTGTAATTTTATGGATTCCTGTTGGAGAAATTAAGAATAAAAGCACTACATGTTGACACAACTAAACTATACGAAGGAACAGCTGTTGTAGTGCAGTAGACTAATATATGTCTGTGATTATCAGATGCATCATTGTTGTTATGCTGGACCATAACACATTTTAAATAAGGAAATCCGTACCCTTGCGCTTGACATATTCACTTTAGAAGGAACCTGTTAAATGGATCTTAGCCTGTAGTGTTTGTAATAACTCGGAGAAAGGTCAGCCACAGAAGTGTCCGTCCGGCTCATTTGTCCAGCTTCTATCTCCAAACAGGAAGAACCAGAGGACACGGTGTCATTCCACTGTTTACCCACTATATACATGTCAAAAACGGTCGTTAAATCAAAGAATCAGACGGCTTAAGTGCACTTTGAAACGCTAAAGCTATCATTGAAGTGAATTATCCGCTGGCATTTTTGTTGGACTGTGGCGCGGTCCTGTCCAAATTTTCCATCGTATGTCTTCCTAATGTTAATGCTAATCCAGTTACCCCGGACGTTAGCTGTATGTGTGCGGCGGGCAGCTCTCATCACAGGCTGAATGTTATGCAAACACTTCCTGGTCACCACCGCAGCAGCCGAAGCACAGAGTAGAGGCAGGCCTGGCATTACTGCAGTACAAGCACCGCCTGGCATTACTGCAGTACCGCCTGGCATTACTGCAGTACCGCCTGGCATTACTGCAGCACAAGTACTGCCTGGCATTACTGCAGTACAAGTACCGCCTAGCATTACTGCAGTACAAGTACCGCCTGGCATTACTGCAGTACAAGTACCGCCTGTGCAGTACAAGTACCGCCTGGCATTACTGCAGTACAAGCACCGCTTGGCATTACTGCAGTACATGCACCCTTCTCTATACAGATAGATAGATACACTGCAAAAAATTATAAATTATGGGGTAATAATTGCTTGTATTGAGTGGTTTTTAGCTTAATCCGGTGGATTCTGACTGTGTTTGCCAATGGGACAAGGCCATTTAGGCTTATTTCAAAAACTGTCGCTTTTTTTTCTCATTCCAAGGTAGGCATTTCTTATATCTTTAAAACAAGATAAATTGGCTTGTCCCATTGGAATATCTTGTTTTAAGCCAGTCACAAGTCGGGCTTAAATATTTCTGTGAGCATATAGTGCTGTAAAATCTCTTGTTTTTCCGGTTAGAGGAATATTTGTTCCACACATTCTATAAATTCAATACAAAATGTGATTGAATCAAGATAATTTATCCTAAAATCAACCGTTTAGGCTAATTTCAATTTAGCAAGTTCCTGCCACACAGGGGACCATCACGGGAGCGCAGCAGTTAGAGTCCTGGGTTCACTTTCATCCCCGGGCCTTTCTGTGTGGAGTTTGCATGTTCTCCCCGTGTTTACTTCGGTTTCCCCTACCAATAGAAACATGTACAATAGGTCTGAATGTAATGAGTGAGGGAATGGATGATGTTGGTTGGGGTCTTACTTACTTACATCATACTATACATGTCTCTTCTTGTCTCACAAATGGGGACTGATCTGTTTTTTGTCTCTAGTTTTGCTAAGATATTCTCCATTGTTCCAAGTATTTCATCACACTTGTCTGCAAGTCACTGTAGAATCCCAGTAAAGTATCGCATTCCCTGTTTTTTCGACCTGTTATTACTACTATGGGCTCAGATCTTTTGTCCCGCTGTAAACGTAGCCTCAGTCGCTCCTTCTCTGGGTCAGGTAAGACTTTTCCCAGCACACATCCAGACGCACCCATATTATGTTGCCAGGTGCTGAGTCTCTAAACCAGGCCATAACTCTGCTAATGTTCAACCAGCGTGTGGCAATCTGCCCGGACAAAGAGGTCAGATAGGGAGTTGTTCATTAAAAGGCTCAAATTGATTATTTCCTTCCTGTTGTTTGCTTGTCATACAGGCTTTTCGGGTTGACTTCCGAACTTGAGCTGAGATAACACATTGACCTTATCTGGAGGAACAGATTGTGTAACTTGTTGCCCTGCAGTTACAGCTGTACTGGGCCAAAGTTAAAGAGTGGCTTGTCCCATCTTTTCTCTCTTTCTAAAAAACACAGCTTGGCCTGCAGCGAACTGGCGGCACGTTTGCGAAATCTGATCACAATTCTACAGAACAGACCTTGGAGACAGCCGGGTTTCTCTTAGTATTGTTTATGCAAGAACTGTGGCTGAACTCATGCTACAATTTGCAATTTAGATCTTCAAACATATGTCAAAATCAAAGTTTGGAGGGAAAACAGATGCATGAGCAAAAAGGACGCTATTGGAAAGTTGGACATACAGTAATTGCAGGAGGGTCTAAGGACAGTGGTGGTGATCCAAGACCCTCGATATTCAACAACATTTATGGACATCAGTTTGTGTAAGCCCTCAGTCGTACAGGGATTAGTCAAAGCAAAATGATGATCATGATGGGTGAGAAACCTTCCTTTGCATTTATGGACATCTGTTAAAATTTACGGACATTGGTCAACTGCCCCTTAAGGACTAGCCTGGCCTTAGTCAATTTTCATTTCCTACATGTACGTCTGGGTCTGATTCAAGTGGATGCAGTTTCCTCGGTTGAATCCCCTCTGACCAATCAGCGAGCGGGGTAGGCGGGTGTTGTACGTAAGTGACTTCAAGAGTTTGCGGCAAATTTGCTGGTTGCAGTTTGGCAATGGCGGAAAATGTGATAGTAAAGGAAGCTCTTAAATCTGTTGTGGTTCCACTCCCCACGGGCTCCATTAGTGGCAAAGGAGATGGCTAAAGCTAGGCTAAATGCTAAATGCCTCACTCGCCAGTCAGAACTGGACCTTTCTGAGTGGAGTTTACATGTTCTCCCTGTGCCTGCATAGGTTTCATCCGGGTGCTCTGGTTTCTCCTATCACTTAAAACATGTACAATAGGTATGAATGTAATGAGATTGAATGGAAGATGTTGTTTTGGGCTTTGATGCGTCAGGGTGTTCGGCGTCTCGCTTCCGTCATCACACTCTGATCTGTGTTGGCGAATCAACAGCTTGTAAAGTCCTCCGAGATAACAAATGCTGTGATTTCAAAAATGTAATTAATTGAATAAATGTAATTGAATTGGACATGCCTTCATGGTTGGTAGAGCAGTTGGAAGTAATGTATGGCAGTGGCAAAGTATCAAAGCAAACAGGCGCACCTCTGCACAGGTCTGAGTTAATCATACACAGACTCACAGTCAGCCTCACTGCACACACTGGAAGCAGATCAGTGTCATCTTAAAGGAGACATGTTATGAAAATCTATCTTTTTTGAGCGTTTAACACATCACATTATTCACTCATAAAAAAATAGACCTGGAATTACAGGAACCTCTGGCATAACTGGCAACATAACTCTGTCTCAGTTCTCTACTCGTCTAATGTCAGTGTACCACTATGAACCAACAAACCAAATTCTACAAATCCCTCTAGTGGGAGCGTAGGGATAGGACACCCTTGGGATTCTCTGATGCAGGAGGAGGTGGAGCGGCCGGGGTCTGCTACAGGAGGAGGTGGACCTGCTAGTGTCTGCTACAGGAGGTGGACCGGGTAGTGTCCTGGTGTCTGCTGCGGCATTATTGTTCACACCAGGACTTCAGGTGGAAGCCAACCATCAGCTCCTCATTCCTTCCTGCGGCAGCTCAGGAAAGCCAAGCTGCAAAGATGTTGGTGCAGTTCTACACGGCCATTATCGAGTCCATTCAAGGGTAGGCTGGTCGTATCACCCCTTTCACCTGCATATGGACTATTCCAACCACTCCCGTCTCACCTGCAGATGGACTATTCCAACCACTCCCCTCTCACCTGCAGATGGATTATTCCAACCACTCCCCGCAGGCAGGAGGCTACGGCATGGATCTATAATAATTTCTGGATAGAGTATTCCTAGCTTATAGCTGTCCCACCCATGGGCACAGGGGGCGCCCGTGGTACTGTAGGCTAAATGTACGTGGGCTACCCAAAAAAATCTCCCATAGAACTCAATGTAAAGTAAAACAGCTCAACCTCAGCTGACAGATGTTAAGGAAGTTTCTACCCAATGAAGGAGAAAACTCAAAGGTCTTTGTCTGATCAAAAGCGTAAGTTTATTGTTAACATACGTACGGAGAGTCAGCACATACACAAGGCAGCATGTACTAGCTCTGAGGGCAGAGCCCCAAGTTTCCTGTATACAAGACACACACGAGAGACAGTCCCGCCCACAACAGATTGGAGGGGGCCACCGGTGAGGAGGCGCATGGGGAGCGTTTGGCGCCGTCTGGGAACGAGGTGCGAACAGACAGACAATGGTCTAAATGCAGGTCATACAGATGCAAGACGCGGAAGGCACAAGGGTGTGACAGACAGCAGGATGTAGAAGATGCACACATACAGACCGATAGATATGCAAGAGGCGAAAGGGATGCAAGACGCGAAAGACACAAGGGTGTGACAGACAGCAGGGGGCCCTCACAAAGCTCAGCATGGCGTCAGAAGGGCGTCTCTGCATTGATAAAAGGCCTTTGACGTCCGTGTATTTGCTGCGGCTGGTTTTATGTAATTACTCCAAAAACTGTCACCACACAGAGAACCTACAGCTTTCAAAAAGGTTGCATTTTGTGGGTATTTTAGTGTCCCTTGTCATCCTGAACTTTAAATGTCTATTGTGTGTACTTGTGCACTTGTACATGTACAGTGTGTATTGTAGCAATTGTAAGAAATGCAATGATTTCTTGTAGGCATGCCTTATTTCTATGTTTACTTTTATCACTTGTTTGGCAAGGCAAGGCAAGGCAAGGCAAGTTTATTTGTATAGCACAATTCATACACAAGGCAATTCAAAGTGCTGAACAGAACAAGAAAGCATTAAAATCATAAATAATCACAGTACATTAAAAAAAAATATATATATATATATAAAATCCCTCAGTTGTATGCACAGCTAAACAGAACCGTCTTTAACCTGGTTTTAAACATTGTCAGAGAGGAGGCCTGTCTCACATCTTCAGGAAGACTGTTCCAGATTTTAGCAGCATGAATCTGAAAAGCAGCCTCCCCATGTTTAGTTCTGACTCTGGACACTAACAGGAGTCCAGTCCCTGTGCTCCTCAGAGTCTGGGCTGGTTCATATGGGACTAACATGTCACTAATATAGTTTGGTGCGAGGCCATGGAGAGATTTGTACACAAGCAGAGCTGTTTTAAAGTTCTCTGAGCCACAGGAAGCCAGTGCAGAGACCTGAGAACTGGACTAATATGGTCGTACTTCCTGGTTCTAGTCAGGACTCGAGCTGCTGCATTTTGAATGTACTGCAGCTGTTTTACAGCCTGTTTGGACAGACCTGTGAGCAGGCCATTGCAGTAGTCTAACCTACTGGAGACAAATGCATGGATAAGAATCTCCAAGTCTGCTTTAGACACTATGTTTTTGATCCTGGCAATGTTTTTTAGATGGTAAAAAGCTGCTGATGTTACTGATTTGATGTGGCTATTAAAATTTAAGTCTGAGTCCAGTATTACCCCTAGATTTCTGACCTTGTTTGAAGGTTTTAGGGAGAGAGACTGTAGGTGACAGATGACGCTCTCTCTTTGTTTCTGGGGACCAAAGACAATCATTTCAGTTTTGTCTGCGTTTAGCTGAAGGAAGTTGTTTTGCATCCACTCACTGATCTGTTGGATACAGTGAAGGAGTGAGTCCACTGGTCCATGTTCTCCTGCAGTCAGTGAGACATAGATCTGAGTGTCGTCTGCATAGTTATGATAGGACACTTCGTTTCTGCGTATTAACTGACCTAACGGCAGCATGTAAAGATT